ATGAGGAATTTGCTCTTTGAGAAGCAATGAAGCAAAACTGTTTAAATTCTCAAACCTTGATGAAGTTTTCAGGCAACTAGTGTTAGCGCATTGAGACTATCATTTTTCTCTGTAGCACTTAGGATAGGTTCATGAATAATTGGCAAGTAATGATGTGTTGTCTTTTTCTACTACAATTGTAGCCATTATCTTTCTCCTGTTTCATGCTGTCTGTGCTAAGTAATACCTGTAATAAGTTTTTGTACTATCAATGCAGCCTGTGATGGAAGCAAGGATAGAACTGAATAATTCATTGCCTTGACCACAAGGCCAAGTGTTTTGTTTTTTGTGTACTTCTAGGTCTCAGTCACTCCATGCTTTCTAGCACAGCAGTGAGTAGTGAAGCTTTACAGACAACGGTCACCTTTGATTCAGACCCTGATATCTATCCCCAGAAGGGTCTGAAGGAGTTTACACCGTGATTCATTTACATGTGGGAGAGAGAGACCTCATAATGCCACATCCCACACGTCTGAAGCATTCAAGTGAGGTGGGGAAGAAGGAGCAGAGACTTGAATCTGGGTTTTTCATCTCCTGTATAAACATTCTTGTTACCATGATATCTGACACATTATAGACGTGACTTCTATTTTCAGTTTCTCTTAAAGAAAACTCTGAAAAAAATCAATTTAGTTCCTCCTAGGATATGAAATCTTGAAAAGTTTTCCATGAGGGGAAAATGTTTTCCTATGTGACTATAGTATTAGAGTACATCATTAATCCTTCTCCTACCCTGAGCTAAAATGAGGCTATTCCACAAGCAGACAGAAGCAGGGGAATGTCTTGTTCCTTATGTTAACGGAGTTAGGTATTTACTGTACTTGTTTACCAGGTGCTGAAATCCATCACTATAGGAGACATGCACATAATTTTAGGCATGTCCCTCAAGGAAGACAGTAGGAATTACAGACTGGTTGGAAATGCTATCTTGAGTGCTGATGTTTTTTTCACACTGTCAGAGTTTTACTTCATGCTTTATGAAAGCAAGTTGTGCAGAGAGCCACTTCAGGGGAGGGCTATGCCTATTTTTAGTAAAATTCCAAAAAAGGGAAACAAAAAAGAAAGACGGAGGCTTCTGAACATATCTGCTCTCATGAATTCACCATCAGGGCAAAGAACAGCACAACCAAACGTCCCACAGCTATCAGCCCGTATGGGATCTTTCCCTTTTTTAGTTTATGTTCCCCTACCCAGACACAAGCTCTCTAAGAGGCAAACCTGCCTATAAAGTTATGTTTACATTAAGTTGTTTCTAGAAGGTAGATTCATTTAAGGAGGGATATTATGTCCTTTTTTCTTCCAGGATGGTTTTCAGCTTCAGCCTGTTTCAATGTAACTATCAAAAGAGAGATAAACTGTCTTTTTTTTTTTTTTTTTTTTAAAAGCAGCAGAGGCAGACTTAAACTAACATTTCCAAGAGGCTCAAATATTTTAATGAAAACAATCATTTGACCTCGTCAACTTTGGGTAATCTTATTAGATTTTTTTCACTAACTGTCTCCAGCAGTTTTTCAAACAAAAACTGTGTTTCAAAAAGATGCATGAGATGAGCTGGTATTCTTAAGGAAGATCTAAGAAGAGTGGCGTGTATGCTATTAGCCAAAGAAGTCAGCTTCACAGACTCAGACACATGCTTGTATTCATCCCCTTCCACCTTCCACACTGCCCCTGCCTTTCATTTCTGCTCAGGGCTATTGGTGTCTGCAAAATAGGATATTCAGTCAGACCTTCCAGCAACCTTTGCAATCTGCATGGTTTGATGAAGTCCAGTGACACTCTGTATATCCTCAGTTAAGTGAATGTAACGTCCTGGGGGGTAGAAACTAAAAATTAAACAAAAATTTTATATTTACGTATAAAAAGCAGTACCCTAGCTGAATGAGGTGATGGGTTCATGTTCTTTGCTTTGCTGCTATGGAAATCTTCATTGAGGTGAGAGCCTTTTAAACTTCTTAAGCATAACCCTTAGTTAGTCCAGGGCTAGGAGGAACACTATGCATTTATTCCACTTACAGGGTAAATGTAATACCTGGTGCTTCATTATACATCCTAGCCTGTATGGAAATACTGTTCTTTAACAGTGATAAATTGAATGTTACTGACTGCAGTTGTGAATGAACAAATTATGTTATTGGGGTCCCTTCCACGATGAACTGAGAGTGGCTGACAGTAGGCAGAGAAAAGTGAGAGGCATATCTTAGTATATAGATATCCATTCTGTGCATGTATTGTCTAAAGGCAGAGAATGACGTTGTCAGCCAGGAGGGAAAAAAAAATCTTGAGATATTAAGAGTCGGAGTGAAACATGAACATTTGGAGTGATGAGTCCACCAGCACCTTGCTTGTTAATGAAGGTAATGTAACAAATATACAAAGTAGGCGAAGAGGTAATAGCTGAGTGAAAATCATGCTGGATTAAGGAGTTTGCTTTTCCTCCTGTTTGTCTGCCGTGACATTTCTGAAAAATAGCAATGGTATCTGCAACCCAAGATGGCACTTGACAAATGGTGCTTTTTCCTCATTGTTGGTGCTCTTTGTTCATATCAGACTTAATAGAGTGTGGAAATAATCAAATTTACGCCATTGCTTTAGTTTGTATTAAAAGCCATTATAACTCTGAGGAGATACCCAACAGCTATTTCATTCTCAGTTTAGAGAAGAGCAGAGAATCTGATGTCAAATACAGCGCACAAACACACAAAAATGTTTACATGTTTTTAAATCACATAACTGAGGTAGTTTGCAATGGGATTATGCGTCTAATGAATAACTGATGGATTATTTCCATTAATAGGGGTGTTTAACAGCAGATGACAGGCCAGACTCTACAGCCCTTCCAGCTGGCACCTGGTCATATAAGTAGTTTCATCCACATAACTGTGATTACAGCCTGAAATAAGAGTTTTAGCTCAGGGTGTGACCATACAATGACAAAGAGGAAAGCTGCTTTGAAAACACCACTTGCTGCTTTTGCTGATACTGCTTGGGCAGGAAAGAGGATCTGGAAATACATTTGCTGTCACTTACTACAACAGCCAAGGTATATGTCAGTCTGTTGGTGGCCCAAAAAGTAATGGGTCCCTTTAATGAGCAGTAGTGCTCTTTGAAAGCCTCCATCTAAACAGGGTTAAGCCCACACAGAAGACATGGCAGGACAGGTACCTAGCTCATGCCCTGGTCTTCCAGTTATACTAGGATAAATGCCTCACAAGTACTAATCTAAACCTTTAACAAGTTCTGTTGAGCTGACAGTCATTGAAGAAAGGCTTCCTTGGGAGATATCCAACTATTCTTTTTTGACTCAGCCATAAGTACTGCAAGAATATCGTACCTCTCCATTACTGTGTTTCTGGTTCCTACAAAATCAGTAAAGACCAAGCATATAAAAGCTAAGCATAGTTTGAGGGAAAATTACTATGAAAGGGAAATTTATAAAAAAGAATGTGCAGAGTGAAATATTCTCCAGAAAGCACTGAATAAACACGGGTGTTTACAGCTAAACCATTGTATATTTATTAAAGCATTTGGTCTTTTAACAACCTAGAGCACATCAGTTACTATCTCCAATCACTCTAAAACTTAAAATCAACCTTCACATCTATCTGTTGCTTGGGCTATAACATTAGACTCCCATGTTCACAACACATTGCTTCTTATTCATGGGGCATGAGGTGATGTGTTCCCTTGTACAGCTTGTAGTTCGCTGTAGCAAAGGGGGTTAAAATAAAAGACTTTATTGGTTTGGTGGATTTGGGGGGATTTTTTTGCCACTTATTGTCTTGCAACTTTGAAATTAGGTAAACAATGAACCAAAAAATTCAAACCTTTTGAGACTGTTATGGCTATCACTAGGCTCATAGGTATGTTCTGCCAGATATTCGAAAGCACTTAGCAGATACTGCTTCCATTGGAGGCAATAACATCTTAAAGGCCAGACTACCTCAGTCAAGCTGCCTACTTGAATGTAAGAAAATTAGAAATGTCTTTTCACAGCAGATGCCACCCTCTGACAAGGTTGCCTAGGATAGCAGACATAAAGAGAGTGCTAGAAGGAATGAGCCCCTCCACTTCTGGAATTCAGTGGTTTGAACGCATCCAGACTGTTTCATTTAATGGCCACCACTAGACCACTCCTATGAATTTGTCCTTTTGAACCTGTTTATGTTTTTGTCTTGCAAAACATTACTTGTCTGTGAACATAGATTATGCATGCTGTATTTAAAATTACTTGTGTTTCTTTTATGCCTGCTGCCTGCTAATTTAACTGTATGGCCTCTAGTTCTTGTTCTGTGAAAAATATTTAATGGTCTTTTTCTGCCTATGTGTCTTCTCTACTGTCTTTCTACTTACCATTCACTATTTGTAGAACATTGTCTTCCCAAAATTCATGCGCCCAGATTTCAAATTCTGGGCCATTTTTTCTGATGCCATGAACATTTCTTGTGTGAATATAGAAAAAAGTTGTCCCTGCCTAGGGAAGAAGATGAAGCAGAGGGGTGATACTAGTATTTACTGCCTTATATCGCTGTTCTTTGCTAGCTCACAAGTGGTATAAGAAGCAGTATGTGGTGTTAACTACCCTAGTTTTAACTGAGCTCATTCAGCATTGATTATGCTGGAAATCTGAGCAGAAATTCAGTATGAGATGGATCTTGGCCCAGTGTTTTTGCCCCAGTTAAACTGCTATAAGGAACAGAGTATGACACATTATGGAAAATGTGCAGCGGATTTCTTTGATTCTTTTAGAAGTTCCAGCTTCAACTGTGAATATTCTGAGGATCATTCAGGAAAATAAGTATTTCAAAAAAGTATTTTTAATTCTTGAGTTTAATATGCTGAAAGAACACACTATATTTTCAAGTACCAACAAAGCATCACTGTGGGTATAAGCTTTGCAGTTAACCTGGTACCTTCCAAAGCTCATCTTTGAATTAACTTTTTTTTTTTTTTTTTAAAACTAGGTGAAGCAACAGTGAAGAAGAAACCAGCTCCAAAGACTCCACCAAAAGCAGGTAATTTGTTGTATCTGTCATCCTGTAGGAATAAATAATAAACCAATATAGGTTTAAAGAATAGACACCACATTTCTAAGTACAGCTGTTGGTCTACTAAATTTGTTTGCATATATGATTAAATGGTGGGTAAGCAAAGTCCCTTTTTCAACCTTGTTTCATAAGGTTACACTGCGCTAAGACTTAAATTATGAGCATGCAAAAAAGTTACTTTCGAATAAACTATAGCAAGATCCTACCAAATGTCAGCAGTAGTGTTGTAACCCATGCCCTTTTCTATATCCACAACACACTTCAGCCATCTGTGAAAGAGATTTTCCTAGGTGTCACAGAATGCTACCTCTGCATGAGTAGCTACCACAGAGAAGTTGATAGATTCTACTTTTCCTCATAACTGTCATTATGGTAACCTGTTCATGTGTTTGCACTCTCCTAGGCAAAACTATCTATATTTAAAGTTACCCAGAATGTTCCTCTGTAGGAAACTGCTTTCACTGTCTTAAAACTTTGTCAGACTTTTAAACTGTTCAAGCTGTTTTCTATGCCAGATGTGTCCCTTAGCCTAGTTTCCTTCAGATATTTTCAAAACAAAAACACTTTTCAAAGAACAAGACGGGGGGACGGGGATAGGGAGGGGGGGTGGGGGACACACAGAGATAGACAGACCGACTTTGTTTTAATTACATTGAAAAGCAAAAGAAACCTTTTTTTTCCATGCCCAGTAGCCCTGTGCTTTGGAGAGGAACGTTACATTGGGCAGTGAGGTCATTCTAATGTTAGGGAATGCCTTTTACCATTTCTGTCAATATGTCCTCGAATCTGTCCCATTCCCACCCGACACCCCCTCCCCCCCAAATATTTTTTATTGTGCTGTTCTTGTAAAGCAACAGAACAAGTTTTGCCCTGGAGTTGTCCAGGCTGTGATATTGCTGGCATCTGTCCCTAGCAGTTACCAGGGGTCTGGCACACTCAGCATCACAACCAAGAGTTGGGAAGTAGCACTATTAGGAAAAGAGATGTTCTGCCATCTATTGATATTCAGGCAATGAGAGGGAAGAGGAGGAGAAACACTTGATTCAGAAATGGAGGAGTGGGACTGCAAGATTTAAAAGAAGCACTGTTATACACAAACAAAAGGATCTGTCATTGCTGACGGGACAATTGAGTGTGATGGACACACACATCAATTTCCTTCCTTGTCTCTCTAATAGATGTCCCTCGTGATGTTTACCTGGCTACAGAAGCCAGAATCTTCATAGGCAGATGTTGAGTCTTAAATTTTCCAAATGCTGTTGATGACATTAAGGAGCAGGTTTGCAGACTCCCTTGGCACACGCAAATTCATATGAAGTTAGCTGGAGCCATTCTTCAAAAATACGAAGTACAAAAGGAAAAAGTTTTTCTGAAAAACCCAATATAAAATTTCATAAGCTGTATATTTGGAATTGGTGGTAGGTCTTAAGATTTTCAGCCTTTGGATTTCTGTACCTTGGTCTTGCATGAGCAAGCTTCTGATGGGTAGATTCTTATTGCTTCACTACAGTAGAATTAACAATATCCACAGAATTGTTTCACTGCAAGCAACAGATAACTGTTTGTTATGTTCTGATAACTGATAACTATATTCTGATAACTACATTCTGACAACAGATAACTGAATCCAGCTAATCTGGATTTCAAATGCTGCTCTGAAACTGTTGAGCTGAGAGATGTATGTGTTTTGAATTTTAAGAAAAACAGAAAGTATAGTCACTTAAAGAGGGTTTGTTTTTGGTTTTTTTTCATCAGCTACTCCTCCTCAGATTACTCAGTTCCCAGAAGACAGAAAAGTCCGTGCGGGTGAATCTGTGGAGTTGTTTGCCAAGGTGGTAGGAACAGCACCCATAACTTGCACCTGGATGAAATTCCGTAAGCAGGTAAATTGTTTTCTGGTCTGTTTTAACAATCATTGAAAAAGTAGAGCTGGAAAGGAACAACAATGACCCATCTTGTCCATCTCCCTTCCTCAGGAATGGGCAAAGTCCATTTCATTCCTGCCAGATGTTTTCCTCACCTCTGCTGAAAACATTCCAATGATGAAGATTTCACAACCTCCATTAGCAACCTAATGCAGGGCTTAAATATCCATAGTGCTGAAATTTTTTTCCTAGTGCCAAACCCAAATCTTTCTTGGCACAGTTTAAACCAGTTGCTGCCTGTCCCCTCCTATAACAAATGACTGTTCCATTTAGAAAAGCCTTAGACCATGTAACTAAAAGATAGGTGATGAGAAAGATTAAGGTATCTGAAAAGTATCTGTCACAGGAAGCGTTTCTCTCCTTCAAAAATAACCTCTTCTTCATTGATGCTTGGTCTAAAGTTATGTCAGAGGGGCAAAATGCCATATAAGAAGCTTGAGTAAAATGTCTTACAACACAAATGTCACCATGCAAGGTACAACAGCAATTATGCTACCGGGAGTGCCCTCGCTCCCTAGGTTTAAAGTTCCTTCTACTTGAATTAATTTCCTTGAACTATATTACATGTGTCCATAAGGGCAGTTTCTAAAGAGAGTTGCTTTAGTGAACAGTAAAACCACTTTAAATCAAATAACCCAATATGGAAATACAAACTGGAAGATGAAGTGCCATGTTAGGTTGGAGCAAATATAAATATATACTGTAGCTGCTATTCTGTTTATTTCATTCTGAACTCATTATGCACTCTATAGAACAGAAATAAAAACACCTCCTCCTACAAGTAAGTTTAGACTTTAAATCCAGATGTGTCAGCATTTAATTGAAAGAATTCAAAACAGTTTGCTAGTGCACAGGGTACTGCAGAGTCCATCTTTGGTGACTGCAAATAACCTCTTACTTTAGGGGAAAGGGTGTTTTTTTCCTGAACTACTACATTTTCTTAAGGTTCTTTAGTTTCAAGACTGGAGTTAAAAAGTGGCCTACCCATTTCTACAAAAACAGGTTTCAGAAGCTCCAGTGACATTCAGTGCATGTTTTGCCAAGCTCTGTCTTAACACATGCGTAAAACGTACCCCTCAAAAGTGAGTTTCTGGTTTGTGCAGAATTCTGAGTTCATTGTTGAATACAACAATCCTATTTACATAGATTTCAAGGCCATTTTTACAAACAAAATCTATGTGATAACAGAGACCAGCAGATCATAATACCCATATCAGATCCATAATCTGTGATTCTATACCTTTTTTCCTTTGTAAAATATTATTTTTACCATCTTTACACTTTCTTCTTTAGTTACTCCCTATGAGACAATCTAAAGGTTTGCAAAATCACACATTAAAATGACATATAAAATTTTAAATGGTTCATTACAGCAAGTGAATGAGATAGAAACGAAAAAACTTCAGGAAGGTTAATAAACACTGTAGGAGGACAAGTGAGGGCAGCAGTCTTTCATTTATTAAATTAAATGGGGAGCCAGCTACTATGTACTGTGCTGCACCATTATTTTGCTTTTTTTTTTCACTTATATTTCACCACATATTGTTTTATTCTTGGATTTCTTCCTCTATAAGTGTGGTTGATTTCAACTCTGTTCCATTCCCAGTCCTAAAAGTGAAAATCACCCAAGTGTTCCTACAATTTTCCTAAGGGTTATTTGTAGCAGTTATTTGAGCAGATCCAGTAAGTGGTGAGTCGTGATTTCAGCCCTACCAGTGTATGCTGGAGCGTGCAGGAGGGACTTGTCCTCTCCATGTTCCTTCATCACATTCCCTCAGGTTCAAGAAAGCCACAGTGGCTTTTTTTGGCTATTCTGGACAAATATCTTTTGCTTGGAGAAAGGGAATGTCACAAAGTTGTGACCCATACTGTTGGGGCAGTCTACTGGAGGGATGGCTAGAACTGTGTTCAGCTAAAAAGGGGAAAGCCTTTGAAAGTGTCTTCATTAGTTCAGGAACAAAGTCCACTGTTTAACATTGCCAGTTGTTGAAGCTTCTTAACTATGACCAGTCACTTTCTTTTCAGAACACAGGGATTCAACTTCCTGTTCCCCACAACCATTGCAAGCCACTGAGTATTCTTTCTGGGCTTCCTCTGCATAACATAGATCTAATTCTGCTAGACTGATTGTTTTTTTACTATTGCCCTGTGACTAATTCTAATGAAGCAAAACCTATCAGGTAGTGTAGAATCTCAGAAGAACAAAGTACAGGGGCAGAGGAGAACAACTTTCAGTATAATTTTAACTGTAATCCTACGTAAGCCCATTTGCTAACTTTCCCTTTGAGTTATTGTAGAAGCATCTTTCTCAGGTTACTTTTGGGCATATAGCAGTGCATATGTTTTATCTCAGTTGAGGGGAAAGCAGGGAAAGTCCTGCTCTTAGCCTTTTAACGTCTTACTCTCTGAACATGTAAGACAAGATAAGGCAAACTAAATAGCCTTCATTTTTAATGAAATTCTGAGAATGCGTTGGAAGAGTCACTTATCTAAGAAGGAAGTGGTGGGAGGAAGAAGGGCATTCACATTATGCTTTCTGTTTCATAAGAACACAGTGTACAGCTTTTATAATTGCAGTGTAGCATTATGAAGTTTTTAAATAATGTCATGTCTCAAGTTAATACTGCTTAAAATTTAAGTCTCCTTAGCCATTTATGTTATGATAGTTTTGTTTCAATTAAAAACTAGTTCATAATATGCCTACGGTATTCAGCTGAGATGTTGATTTTTGCCTCTCCAGAAAATAAAAATGCTATAGGAAAGCTAAATCTGCTCTTTGTATGTCTCTCTGCACAGCTGTAGCATTACATCTCCATTTCAGGCAACATCATCTTCAATTGTTCAAACCTAAGAAACTGTTACCCTGATATATGTGCAAGGACAGAATCAGGCTGGTTAAGACAAGAGGGTAAAAGGCACAGCTATGGATGATTTGCACATTGGGGCTCTAATGGGAAATGGCAAATGAACTACGGTATTTAGAGCTAAAGCCTTATTCCACTGTGGTCTCTGTGAGATATGTAGGACCAAACTTTGTTCTTTTGCCAGTTACACAGTTTGCACTTTCAGCCTGTCAAAGAGGAGTTAGAAAGTGAAACTCCTGTTCCGTAGTGGAGTCCCAGCAACGCCAATGCTTCCTGTTGCCTTTGCAGGACTGGAGCCATTATAATGTTCCACTGCATTTCTAGATGTTTTGTGTTGATTACACTCTTTACCAGCTGCACATATTCACTGCTGTAATAGAGTTATCTGCAGATAACACTCAATATGATAAACTTGTATCGTAATTTGAGCTCCTTCTGATATGAAGAAATTTCTCCCATAAAACCTTTTTTTTTTCTTTTGAATTTGGCAGATTGAAGAAAATGAATATATTAAAATTGAGAATGCTGAAAACAGCAGCAAGCTAACAATATCATCAACAAAGCAGGAACACTGTGGATGTTACACTCTAGTCGTAGAGAACAAACTTGGCAGCAGACAAGCACAAGTCAACCTTACAGTTGTTGGTAAGCCCACAATAATGTTTTAGACATATATTCATTCTTCAGACATCACTATACATTTGCTTTATATGTGATGATATGCAAAAAGTTTAATAAAATAATCAGATAAGTTAAGAAGATTGAAATGAAAAACTAAAAAATATCTGGATGGGACAGTGACACTGTAATAAGGACTATAAGCATGTTCAGTGGGGTTATACTGTGTTTTATTTTGACAAATTACTAATTACAGATGGAGGTACAAAATAGCTCAGACTTCAAAAAAAAAGAAAACACACAAGAAAAAAACAGCTCCTCTGTCTCTGTTTTTTGGTTGGATATCACTTCTTTTGCCCATTTAATGTTTGCAGCATCCAGATGTTTGCTAGACTGCAAATTTTAAAACTGTTAGTTCAGGAAGGATTGAGGTGGTTTCTATTAGACTGTAAATTTGAAAACATCATGTTGCCTGGGGGAAGGATATTTTATCCTTTTAATTGAAATTCCTATCACTGTCTACTGTTCTATAGTGACAGAAAGCAGTGAATAAAGGCACTGTGTTTTGAAGTCCTTCGTTTATGGGCTTTTACAAACATGTATTTTAAAGTTTCAAACAGCCTTGTCAGATGATACATTCATACTATCAAGTTCGTTGTAGCAGGCTGTGGACAGCTGCAGATAGGTGTAGACTGGTAGACAGTTGTAGTATGTTTGCAGATAAAACTGCAGCCTAGATCTAGACCAACTATCTTGAGTATCAGACAAAAACTACAGCTGTGACATCCAGTTCTGAAAGGGCTAATGAACCCACCTTGGTGTGGATACACAGCACATGGTTTCCAGAGAAATCTAGGGATGTTCTACAAGCAAAGAGAGTGATTTCATTAAAACATTAGTCCGCAGGATGGGTCTGTTTCTAGGCTCTGTTATCTACGACCTGCAGAGGGGTTTTGACACAAGGCGAGGGAGGGCAGAGCTTGCCTTTGGATGAATTCTAGCTCAACCAGCAAGGCTGCACGCTAATCACACATTCATAACTGCATTGGTTCTGCCGTCCTAACAGGTATGTGGGCTAGTGAGCAAGTAAATGTAGGTATAAGGCCAAAGATGAAAATCTCACTCCAATGAAATCAATGGCAAAATACCATTAACCCAAGCTGGACTGGAAATTCATTCCAGCAATTTAGTGAATAATATACAAAGTTTAATGAGTAGAATCACACATTTAAGTACAATGTCCACTGCTAAAGAGTGAATGTCCCTCAGTTGCACACTGCTGTACATATTGTCAATAGAGGCCTCTGGATTATTTAAATGAATTTCATGTAATCTGTAGCTTTCATTGCAGTTAACAGATAACTGAATGAGTATAAATATCAAGTAGATTCCAGCAATGTGCCAGAGAATTCAAGAATAGAAGAATATAGAATAAGTATTTTTCACACGATGCATAGATAAATTGTAGTACCCCTTCCAACAGTGTGTTGTGCGGGTAAGAAGTATAGCTAGGTTAAAAATGAACGCCATGAAAAATTGATCCTTGAATCATTATCGTATACATTGTTCTGGGTACAACTTTTGGCTCTAAAGCCCCAACACAGCTGATCAGCAGCTAGAAGAATGGCAGGAGATTAATTGTTCTTTACATTTCCCCTTTTTTCACT